TTCTCTGTTTCAAATCTGGCACTCAGTTCAGACCAATTTTTCAATTATGTCCCAAGGAGATTCTTGGACAAGTGAGACATGCAAACCGACCGTACATTACCAGTCAATCGATCGAGCGAGCATCATCATCTTTCCAGATATAAATATCACAATGAAAATGAATGAAAAGTGCGCAATATATTATTCTTGTGGCGTATACTGATGGTGATCTCGTACTTTCTGTTCTGGGGTTGCGGTAGACGGATCTCTGCTAGCTAAGGCATACTTGATCGTGGAATAGTTGTTGACCTATACTAAATATTTAATATACAATCATCTTTTAAATTTTTTACCTATATATTCGTAATTAGCAAAAAATTTTTATGTTTTGATTTGTATTTCACAAATTTTTATCACCACAGAAACTGTTATTATGCATAAATATGTATAAGGGTATTTACTTCTCCTCGTCAATAATTGATCTCTGAAACTGCTTTGAAATATGATGCTCCCTGATGCTACCCGTTTTTCGATCCGTTTCTTCAACTAAGCATTGAAATTCGGGTAATTTATACTAGTAAGCTGTCAGCACATCGAAACTTTGATCAGTCTGTGAAAAATCGCATGCATAAGGCTGTAAACAACACATTTACTTCAAAAGCGTATTGCGAGGCAATACATTTATGGCCCTCTCCGAGATCCTCCTTCGGCCGTACATCGCTGTAGCATTGGTACTTTCTGTGAAGCAAAATAATTAACGTGAAAGAATGAACTGTGATCGACACGTTACCGGCAACATCCCCATGTTTGTTCTCTGTTTCCTCTTTTAAATCCTCATCCTCTGAGCTTATCCTCGTTTCATCCTTCAGCACCATGGCAACGAAAGCGCTTGGACCAATTCGTCTGAATGCTTCTTTCTCGCCGCCAATGTCGCTTCCTCTCCTCATCACTGAATCTCTAACCACTGTTCTATTCCTGAGCAGTCTTTAAACGAGTGAGCGACATTCTGCAGGCGCCGCAGAGTCCGAAGCGGCAGTAGACCATGACTGACTTACAGTCGCACCGAGACGCTTGTTGCCTAGCAACACTTACGACATCGCATTTAGCGACTTCAGCAAACGGATTAACCAGTGGTCAAACATGAATGGTGTGCTAATTGGTTTAGCATTAGAAGCGGGTACAATTCTTAATCATCGGTAATTACATTCTACCATGGTCAGAGTGGATTACAGTACGGATTTGCCAAACTCGCTCACGTTGAAGATCTCTTAATCCGATGAACACCTTAGCGAATTGTTTGTTCGCTGGATTAGGGAGGCAGAATATGAATCCATCGGTAAATCCGTTTTTTTTTCGCACGGCAACCGATAGTCACATCTAGTCATTCATTCGTTACCCTTGGGGTATTCGTTTAAAGTTATAATGGTAGTTTCAGAACATCTTTACGATCGATCTGATCGTTGCCAATCTGACATGCTACATTTCAGAACGCGACCCTGCCAAGTCCTGTTCCTAATCGAACCACAAAAAGAACGATCTGCCCTACGGCCATTTTGTCTTTGGATGAAAGTCCACTTTGTTCACCTCCTCTCACATCCCAACCACGTCCAAACAATTTTAGTTTCATAATGAGGCATTTTTCTTTACTGATAAGTGGTGGCATGCCTGTCTGAAACCAAAAGCTTTGTGCTTTCTCGATCCCTTGCCTACTGCGTTCTGCCGACAAATCCGAAACCAGTGAAAAGAGTACACCAGGATCG